ACCTAATTGTCAACCTATTACCCTAAAAGATAACCTGTATTATTAACCCAAGCGATAGTATTATCATACGATTATCTGCCCGATTCCTTAGTATAGAACCGGCCCATTGTTTCTTATTTACCTTAAAACTATCACGTCAGCCCTAACTTACCCTTTAAGTATACCCTTAAATTACGTGCATAATCCAAATCGGAACCGATCCCGATCGAGGTCCTAATTCATAGCCCTCACGTGTCTAAATTTCTAACGAATAATACATATAAAATCTTTTTTAAGTTCACTATTGGAGCTAAATTGCCCCGTAAACTCATATCGCTCTCCCAAACAATAGTAACATTACTCTAACTATTACCCTAGCTTCAATCTACCCAATAACCTAACCCTAATCTAAAAGCCGAAGCGTGTCAAAGAAGCCCACCCATATCCTAACCTAAAGGTCAAAATGTGGTTTTATCTCAGAATTACGACACTCCAAAAACAAACTCCCGACAGTACTAAAATCCTGTCAACTCGACGATACTAAAATTTTGTCAAGATTTTAGTATAGTCGGGATTTGGGATTTTGGATGCCAGGGTTCTGAGGTAAAACCTAAAATATGTCAAAGAATCTCATCCCAACCCTAGCCTAAAAGTCGAACGTGGCAAAGGAGCCCACCATTTTAATTCTCAGACACTGAACTATTCAAGAAACTAAAATACACCCGTCAATCACAAAAAAAAAAAAAAACATACGACAAAACGTCAAAATGCCTTGTCGTTGAAGTAGTGATGGGCATCACGCGGAATCCCGCGCGTGATCCATCACGTGACGCGTGGGGGTAATTCGGGCCAATACCATAATTCCGGCTGAATTTACAGATTTCCGGTTCGCGAGTGATCCCGCATCCCGCGCGGGATTTTTGAAAAAACTGTAAATTGCCCATCACTGCGGTAAAGTGATACGTATCCAAAAGGAACAACACAAAAAAAAACCACCCGATGTAACATAAAGACAGTGTTGGCAAAATATGGACGTTGATAATATGGACCAATGGACATGGGCATTTATGGACTATGTCCATATTGTCCTTATTTTTTTATTGCCGCTTAATCCACGTGAGATTACCTGTTTCGAAATATGCCGGATAGAATGTGCAAAATCCGAAGGTTTGGGTCAAAATCCTGAAATAAGAATCCAAATAGGACGAAATTCTTAAAAATTGGTCAACATTAAGCTAATCCTGGCTAACTTTGTCGGGGTTGACCCAAACCCAGATCCAGGGGAGACCGTCCCAAATATGGAAATTGGTTATTATTCATAGGAATAAATTCGGCTGATTGGTCAATTTTTATGGATTTACCCGTGATCACCCGTGATAATTAACCAATCAAATTACATATTTTTAAAGAGTATATACTAACAAGAAAACATATGAATAAACTTATAATTTTATAAATGAGTGACGCCAAGGGAAAAGGGAACATTCGTTTTTATTGATTATTTATCTGATGATCGAAAACACATCGGGATTTCAATTATTATAAACTAACCTCTGAAATCTGTGAAATTGTCGTCTTAGTGAAAGTCAGATATTTTCGACCTCAAATAAATAATCAATAAAAACGAATGTTCCTTTTTCCTTTGGCGTCATTCAAATATCCAAATTAATTAATTTCATATATTTAAAGAATAGCCTAATAAAAAGTATTTGTATAAAAATTGTAAATTAATATAACAATTTTAATACAATTATGAACATTCATACAGTTTTTGTACAATAGTTTTAATAAATATATAATAAAAAAATTATAGCTTATGATATATTTATTACAAATTATTTACAACACTGTAACAAAAATTGTATAAATGCTCACAATTGTATTAAAATTGTTATATTAATTTACAATTTTTACACAAATACTTTTTATTGGGATAGGTAGATACTTATTTATTATGAATAAATTCAAACCTATTAATACAATATACAATCTATAATCCAAAGCTCTTTACAATTGAAAACTTCAAAACAAGTGCAAAAACAGAACATATTCAAGTATTAAACGCGGATCTCTTTCTGCTATAAGCTTAAAATAAATATTTAGTAAAAGGTTTAACATTCTCAGGTAGTTTTAACAAAAACGCTTCCGGTTACCTCATTCTGCATATAATTTGGCATGGTCCAATAAACTGGTAGGCATATTTTGTCTTCTAAGTAAAGTCTTTTGGTTTGAAGATTTTTTTGGATTCTTTTGCACTATGAACGAAGGTATTCATTAATGATATTTTGCGGTGAATTTTTGTTAGTGAAACGTCACGTTCACAAAAAGTTAAGTTACCCAGGCAATTGATCTACGCCAACCAATCAAACGAATTTCTTCCTATGAACATTTTATAGAAAGTATGCCATTTGAACCTTTTAAAAAAAGGATTGCTAACCGTATAAAAAAAATTATTTACCAATCGTGTAACAATCGGGTAATCAATTCGACGTCTAAAGCGGTGCAGAATCATATGTTAGTCAATTAACATGACTGCCCCACAGTCGTAATCATGACGACCGGGCGATCATATAGATCGCGTTTTTTCTTTCAGCTTTTTCATAGTCTTCGCAGTTGGTAATGACGTTTGATGACCTGGATGTTCTGAAGAAGGTTTTTTTTTTCTTATTTTTACTCTATTTTTTGTGGGTTTGATATTAGGTAAATACATTCTTTTCTTTTGAGCTTTTTTGAGTCTTTACTAACTTCTTTATTTGTCTTTTTTTTTTTACTGTTTTGTGTGGTCTTATTCGCTGTTTTCTTCACTGTTTCATGATTGTTAATCTGTATCATTTTCTGATTAATTTCTTTGTTGTTTTCTGGTGAATTTCTTTGGCATTTTTTGGTGAATTTCTTTATTATTTCATGATGAAATTACTGATTGTTTCATGGTGGTTTCTTTGTCATTTTGTGGGATTTTTTCGTGGTGGATTTCTTTGTCTTTCATGACAGTTTTCCTTGCCATTTAATAGCGGGATTTCTTATCGTTTTGTAGTGGATTTCTTTGTTATTTAGTGGTGGTTTTGTTTTTTATGCTGTTTTGCAGTAGTTTTTCACGTGTATTCATAGTACACATCACTCTGGTTATATCAACATTTTTGAGACATTAGTAAAAAAAATTCAAAATGTTGATATTGTGAGTTATACCGACATTTTATATTAAACCTTTTGAAAAAAATGTCAGTATAGAAAGATTTTACTATGATGTCGTTATACCTAGAGTGACTTATTTATTATGCACCAGCAATTTTATAGTGGTTCTTTATATCATTTCATATTTTATTTCATTTTATTTTATATTTTTTAAATAAACATTTTAAAATAAAAATTTAAAATAAAAATTTACTGTCAGTTAATTGATGGTTTATGAATGTTCGATTTTAATTTATGGCCAATCATCGTTCCTATTTTTTGACCAATCATATATTGTTTTCACGTGATTCTGCACGGCTTTAGACGACCCATATTTGGGACGGTCGGTACCAAAATTAGGGGTCCTTAAAGCGGGGCAGATCACGTGATATACCGTTTTCATTAACTTTAGGGTTAGCGCCCACCTTTGGTTAGGGTTAGTGTTAGGGTAGTTTTTATAGGTAAAATTACCTCCCCGACATTTTTTGTTAATGCTGCAAGGTGGGTTTAGACTACAGTTTCTTCTATTTTTCGCATATTTCTCTTTTTTTCGCTTGTTTTGCTTCGTCGGGCTGATCCGGGATCATCAAATTTTAACAATTTGATTGGTTAATTATAACGTAAGGGACCCCCAAAAAAGGTAAAATTTAATATTAAATTTCTCCACAATTTACTAATTAATTTCACTGGTTGTTATGCGGATCACGAATTAATATTAAAATAAATTCAAATTTTAGCATCATCCGATTTCAGCATCATCACTGACAAGCATTATTTATTAAATTGATGAGAATAAACTGATAATTATTAAGGGAATTTACCCGAAAAATGAAAATAATTACAAATAAGGGCCCAAAGTGAAAATAATTACATATAAAGGCCCAAATTTTGAAAATTTTACAATTAAGGGCTAAAATAACTTTGTGCTATGATGATAGTGGTTCTTCTGTATATCTAGTGCCAATGTGTCGGGCATGGGCCGTGCCAAATCTTTGTGCCCATGCCCATGGCAAATTCTTATACCCGTGCCCATGCCCATGCCTGTGATTTTGTTGGGCACGAGCCCGGTTTGCAGACCCTAGTAAAAATGTTCAGGACCCCTGAAAACCTCACGGAAACTGAAATCGGGACCTTATATCTAATCTACATTATGTTATATAAAACTCCTCTTTTATCCTAAAACTGCACCCTAACCCTAAAACTCTTAGGATGGCCACCGATGAATATTAAATAAATTCAAAAAAATTGCACTTTTGGCCCAAATAGAACACCGTATAAAATTGTATGTCACCGTGTCATGATAATAATAATACGAATGCGCGTTATTTATAACTATTGACTAACTAATTATATCTAACTATTGCTTTAACAGGTAATACCTAAAATTAGCATAATTATTGAAAAGGATCATTGGTTAAATTGCATCTTATTAAGCAATATTTTTTAGGTAATACTGAGATAATAACCACGGACACGATATTATATACAGCGTTGGCCAGAGATGGACTAATATTAAAGTAAGTATATTTTTGTAATGCTGGTCATTACTGTGTTACAACATATAAATGAATTCTCCGTAAGTGCACTTCTATAAGTACAAATCAATGTAATTTACGTAACACTATAAGTACTACGTGTATAAAATAGTAACTAAACCTTAGACTAAATTTAGTAGATATTTTTTAATTTTAGCGAATTTTTAATATTATAATAATTCGTAATAAAATAATTTGATTTATTTACAGTATAAAAAAAAATAATAAGAATTTCATCATAAAAAATCATAATTTTCACAGAATTGCTAATAATGAATGAACAATATAATTATTCAAAGGGATTGCGAATAATGATTATTTTTGAGATATTTTAACCATTAATTCATGGACTTGGTTAGTTGACCTATAACTATATTTAATTTGACCATTTTTGCTTGCTAAATCAACATCATACTTTCTATAGAGCAATATTACAAGCAATTTTAACTCAATTAATGCAATATTTCTTCCTGGACAAAGTCTTAAACCTCCACCAAATGGAATATATCCATTCTTACATACTTTATTAATTTCACCTGTGCCTCCAAGTTCTTCACTGATAAATCGGTCAGGGTCAAATTTACTTGGTTCTTTCCAATAATCAGTATGATTCATTACTTTGTGATGATCAGGCCAGAACCATGTTCCAGGTGTCCAATTATGATTACCTACTTTTTCATAATCGTCAAGCACACGTAAATTATATGGAGCCGGATTTGAATGACGTAATGTTTCCTTGACCACTGCATCTATATAGCGACAACTTTCAATATCTTCGTAAGTAATTGTTGAATTTGTATCAGAGCCAAGTACTTTAAGGATTTCTGCACGCATTTTTTCAAGAACTGAAGGATTTTTAGCAACATTATAGACAAGAAAACAAAGACTGGTGCTGATCTATAATCAAATATTAGTTAAATATTGGTTAGTATTTTACATTTAATTTAAATTAATTAAAAATCTAATAAATACCGTCTCAATAGAAGCAGCAGTGCTTTCAGCAAGATTACTTTCAATTTCTTGATCATCCATAGGTTCTTCACCCTCAATATATTCTTCAGAATCTTGTGATGAATTAGTAACTATTAATAGGTCCAATAAATTAAAATTTGCTGGGGATCCATTTTTAATCTCATCCCTACGTTTTTTAATAATACTCCGCATTGTACCATTCAAGAAAACAGATCTCTTTTTCACAGTGTCATAACCAAAAAGCATAAAAAGAGTACCAATAAATTTTGGTAAAAAGACTAAGAAAGCAAACATCGCAAGGTAATCAGCCGCAGCTTTGGCAATTGAATCATATGATTCTGAGTCATATAATAATGGTTGCCCAATGACGGTAGAGATTGTAATTTCTGCTTTATACCAAGCTACCCATTTAGAAAAGTCTAAAGTTGTAACATCACTGTCATCCCATTGCTTTTCAGATTCCTTAAATATCTTTTGAACGCTATTTATGAATCCAAGGTGATATTTTTTTGACATTAAAATTTTAGTGACAAATTTACGATTTCGTTTCCATTTGGGAAAATCATTGTTAAATACCATGCTTGCAAATACTTTATCATCATTACTACCAGCCATGCTGCGTTTAAAAAATTTTGATTCTTTATATATATTTTTTGAATCACTATATGACAAATAGATTTTTTCGAGATATTTCGCATTACAGGGAACTACGACTCGAAAGGGACCAGCGTAAAGTTCCCAAAGATCAACAGATTCGTCTAAATTTTTTTCAGCCCATTTACGAGGATCTAATCCAATTGATAAAAGTGTACCAACAAATGGTAATGGTATTGGACCGGGAAGAGGGTTTGGTCGAGTAAAATAGCGATAATAAAAGTATCCAATATATAATAAAAATAATAGTCCGACAGTACCTAACATTTTTACTTCTTGTTTAAATAATAGAGTGACTGAATTGATTAATATAATGATGAGAATGTGAATGATAATTAAGGGATGAAAAAAAATCCAATATTAAAATTAATTAAAAGAAAAAAATTAATCGAAATTTCAAATGAAAATTTGAAATATAAATGAAAAGTCGAATCGAGAAGTAAGTTAGTCAAAGACTAAATTCCAATCCAAAGGCAATTGCGGAGGATATAAATACATTCTTTGGGAAAAAAGATATACAATAACACAAACATTATTTGAACTGACACTGGTTTATCCTAAAGCTACACGATTAATTATAATTAGATTAGTAGAGATTTAGTACGAAATATTAGAAAAATATATAGTATGAAGCGCGATAAAACAGATCTACTATTACGTGTACGGATCTTCGACTAACGTAAGATGAGCTAACTAGTAGTACCGTGAAAATATGCACCAATCAGGAATAGAGATTGCTACGGCTTAAGCCGTAACTAGTATTTAGGCATGTCTAGGGTTGGAAATCTTATACCCTCATGTTCTCATAAGAATATCATCTCAAAACTGAGAACATTCTAATCTTATATTAATCATTTGTGAGAACATTATTTGAGAAGTGCATTAAAATCAATTCAGATTTTCTCGGGTACATCCGAATGTAATATACTGAAATTTTAAAAATTTTTGATTTTATTAATTTAAAATTTTGCCTGAAAAAATTTTTTTTTAACAATTCATCGTTTAGCTATTTACAGTAACTTAAGTAGCTGTAATATTCTTGAGAATTGGTCAATAAATAGGATCATTCAATCTAAACTATAAGGCGGTTAAAATGACTTCAATATTTAATTACAATCTGCATATCTTAAATAACGATAGGTTAATTTTTAGCATGTATCATCCTTCGGAATTATTATGATTTATTCTTTCGGAATTTTTTGATTAATAATTACAATTTCTTATATTTGATATTTCATAACAGGTTAAATAGGTTATATTTTTAGCATATTATCTTTCCAAAACTATTACCGTAATTTGCGGCAAATAGTACCCGGGTCTCTTACATTCCTAGGCCTTAAAAATTGATTAGTACCCGTAGTACCGTCAATTGACTATATAATTTGACTAAATTGACGCTAAATTGACAATAGGCGGGTACTTTAACAAGGGGTACTATTTGCCGGTAATTCAAAAAAATTCAAGATTTTTTTTTTAAGAATATTCTCAATTTTGAGATGATGTTCCCATAAAACATCAGAATGAAAGATTTTCAACGCTATTATAGTGATAATAGAGGTAACTCGATACATCGTGATTATCTTAATGTGTGTGAATCGCATTACAAAAAATGATCATATACCAGAAACAGCCGATATTGAGGATTTAATACCAGGAACGGAATGATATTGAATTTTATGAATAGTGAAGTGTGGTTATGCTGCGGATAAGTGGTGTGCGTCCAAAAAATGCATGCGGCAAAGCAACGATAATACTACAACTCAGAGCCGAAGACAACTAATTGATTGAAAATTTTCCAAAAACAACCAATCGATTCAAAAATTTTGTCAAAGATCGATTAAATATCGAATAATCGTTTAGTTGACAACTAATCCATTAAAAATTTTTAACAAACTGATCGATTTGTAAATTTTTGCCGATTTGTACGTACGTACGTATTACTAAACATGCTGCATCTTCTATATTTGTAGATTGGCTTAACTTTTTTTGATGTATATTTTTGATCGGCCTCGTCTATAATTCGAGTGTAAATATGGCGTGATTTAATCGTCTGTAGTTCATGATTTTAAAGTTGTTTGCGTATATACCAGATTTTGCTTGATCTAAAATTTATACAACGTACGAATGTACGTAATTTGATAAATTGCATTATATTTGTGTTAGCATTTTAAATTATATATCATATCCGATCTTGGATTATACATTGATAGAACCCATAGCACTGATAATATTATTTTCTATTCTGACAGCCTATTTCGCTGGTAGAATTTTTCACCAAATGTTTTTTTTCCCGATCAAACTATTTTCTCGACAAATGTTCGGAGAATGATAATTAACCTGTAACTGTTTATAGATTCGTATTGAAGATCATCTCTAATCTTATCTGTTTATAGCATAGCGAAATTAGTTAACTATTCCTATTTCTTTTTAAACCCATAAATAACACCAATCAATTCCAGGACTAAGTTACACGGCATATTTTTTGCAATAAAGAAAAAATGTTTCGGCCGTTGTAGTAATGATTATTTTTAGATGTAAAGAACGAATGCATTACTTTTTTAAATTTATTTTTATCTTTATTTTGTATAAGGGTGCGAGAATCTATGCAATAATCAGTGAAGTGAGGTAATACATAATTTATAATCTCCATATTTAACATTTTTCATTATCTTAAAGCGTAGACTAAAATGAGATCAAACGATTAAGTACTATATGAAGGCCCTTCGTCCGGAGATCTACCGGAATATTGTATTATTTCCCTTATAGTGAAAGATTAGGGTGTTATTTTTAGTGATGTTATGAGGCTTAACGACTTTTTAATCGGTAAAATAACAAGTTTCAATAAAATTGTCAAGAAAAATACTATTTATTATTTGCAAAACTATGCCAATAAAAAACAAATGACAGAATTAAAAGCAAACAAATTTTCATTTTAACAGTTTAATTCATATAGTTTAAACAGTGGCACTGCGCAATGAAATAATGCGCGGCCTACGCAAAATTTTGGGACTATACAGTGTAATTTTATAATTCAGGCCAGTTGATATAATTTTGGTTAGAGGTCCAATCCGGATAGCGTTTGTCCGAATAATTATCGGATATCCGAATAAAGTTCGGATCGGATACTCGGATATCCGAATAAAGTTCGGATCGGATACTCGGATAACAAATAGCAGATATCTGTATTCGAATAATTATCTGAATATCAGTCGGATTATCCGGATATCGGATCTGTTTATCCGATCTGAATTATCCGGATAATTCAGATACGGATAAACGGATGACAGATTTATCCGGATTGGACCTCTAATTTTGATCACCCTGTATGATGTTGGCTTAATATTTCTTTGTATCTACCATAGTCTAGCCGCCGCACCAATCACGGCGGATCGATTTGTGATCTACAAAATTTTAGCCCGCATTACTGCATTACAAGTTGCTTACATATTTTCCAGCCGGAATTAAACTTGACACAACAATTCACGACCAATCAAATTATGAAATACGCAGATGTATTTTTTTTTGATAATGTGAAATGACAAACTTTGAGCGAAGATATCTTGATAATTACCAAGTAAAATTCGACGCTTTTTTTTTTATTGGAATGCTACGAACATGTTGAATTGACACTCATCGAGGTGTGTTACAGATGAAAAGCAACTATGGGTTATCCGTCCCTTGTTATACGTACTAACCAGTGTTGGGTACAGTTCTAAGTCCAGTTTTAAAAACTGGCTGGACTGGACTATTCAACTGGAACTAGTTCCAGTTCCAGTCCAGTCCAGTTTTCATGTGATTTGTTTAAAAAAATTTTTATTTGCCATCGTTTTATATAATCTGTACATACATATATGCTGATTTCTGTAATAAAATTTTTTACAGTAGCTCATGACAGAAATCATGATAATTCAAGTACAAAATTTAATTTGAACTTGACTATACACTATGTCTCACTAGAGAAGAGAATTCTTAAATTGCAACTCATGATGAAAATTCTTGATACAAACTAATTTTATAATAACCGGAGTGGTGAATAAGTTTTGTAGCTGAGTTTTTTTACAGCAACTCATAACAGAAATTATGATACTAACTAACAACAAACAATTAAAATTTATAAATATAATTTATTTTATTTATATACTATAAAATCTCAAAATAGCATTATTTCGAATCTTGGCCCAAATTAAGCTTAATTCGGGCCAGAAATTGTAATCTCACCCCTGTGCATTATTTCAAAATTTTAAAATACATATTTATTATTTAGGTCCAGTTCCAGTAAGTACTGGAACTGGACTGGACCAGTCTAGTCCAGTAGTGGTCTATTAGACTGGTCCAGTCCAGAGACCAACACTGGTACTAACAGTGCAGAACTTGAAAGTATCTGTTCTAAACTGATGATTTGAAAAAAAAATCAATGCCTTAAATTTCACAGCTCATATTTTGTTGAATTTAAACCTATCTTGATCAGGGTTTAAAACTCAGATCAAAACTTACATGCACAAATGCAGTTTGTCATAGGTTTTAATTGCACAAATCAACTACTAGTTGCACATATATATATATAAATTTTATTTTTATATGCACTTATTTATTGCCTCTAAGTGATTCAACGTTATAAAAATTTAAAATTACTATACCAAATATATCTTACATTAAAATTTTATAATTTCACTTGCACATCATTTTTTGCACAAGCTCCTATTCAAATTAAAACACACTTGTGTATATACATTTAGAACTTATCTTGTACAAAAAAAAACCTACTTGCATATATGCATCTTGTGTAAGCCAATTTTAAACCCTGATCTTGATGATTTAATATTCAAAAGAAAGCTTATAATTCAAGCTTTTTTTGAATATTCAACCATTAAGATAGCTTTAAAATTTATTGATATATAAGCTATGAAGTTAAGGCATTAATTTTTTTCAAATGTAGGTTTGCTTGATGGCTGCCCATATGC